GGGGGTCCCAGCTGGTACCCGCCTTGGCTCGCGGCCTGGTGCCACCCACTAGCCAGCCCCGGCCCCTGCCACCACCGCCAGTCACCTCCCTTTGCAGTGCGACCTGCGGGAGGCGGTGGGGAGGATGGGGGCCACTGGCACTGGCCTTGGCTGGTGGCAGGAGGTGACTAGCAGGGTGATCCGGGTGGGGGGGTGGCACCACCCACTCACCAGCCAGCCCCACCCCTTGCCTCTGCTGCTGGTTGCCTCCCTCTGCGGTTGACCAGCGGGGTGGCACCCACCTTGGCTGGCCTGGGGCCTGAAGGTTAGGGGCAGCTTCTGCGTTGAGCGTCTGCCCCCTGGTGGTCAGTGCGCGTCATAGCAACTGGTCATTCCACCAGTTCTGCCATTCGGTCGATTTGCATATTAGGCTTTTATTATATAGGAGGATAATTTTTGTCATTTTTAGCATCTTTATGCTTCCTCTCTCTGTACTTCCTTGGTGTTTCCTTTTAATTCCTTTTTATTTTATTTTATTTATTTTTATTTTATTTTTTTGCTACATTTATTGCTATATTTTTCCCCTTTTGGTAATTTTGAAGATAAGCTACTTTATAGCCTATTACTAATTACACTTAATTAAAACATGCTTTAACCTATATTTCTCAAATTAACCACAGAAACTATATAACAGAATTTATTCTAAGATGAGGAAATTAGCATATCTCCTTCCTCCCATTTTACTCTTTATATCGGTATAATCTGCAATTTTTTACCCTGGGGTTTGGGCAGCAGTGATATATTTTCTCCTTGAAAGACTAATGGTTACACTCGCATTCTGTTTTATAACTATGTGTATAGAAATTATTTAGATTCTTTTCTGTTTGGCTTATTTGCTTGTTGCCAACTCTTTTTATAATTTTTATGAACCATAACTTTCCCAAACTTGCGTTCTTCATTTTGATTCATCTCTTGGTTTGGTAGAAAACATTTTCAAGTGGCTTTTTTTGAGTGTTATGTGAACAGTATATTTTTGAGGTCACTGATATTGGGAGCTCTTGTCTTTGGTGCTTAACAACTTGTCTGGGTTATACTCCTTTCTACTCTAAAATGCATAGGGAGAGATCTGCACTGTGTCTAAGAGACACGCATTGAGGACCGTGCCACAGTATTTGTCTCTAGTTTCCAGAACTGATACAGGTGCCCACCTGTTTTTATAGATTTTGGTCAATTCTGACGGTTGGGTCTTGTAATGGGATGGAATGTAAGCTTATGTATTCATGTCACCCTCTTTTCAAATGTCATCAACCATCAAATACTCATTGATTCATTCAGCAAGTATTGATTGAGCACCTACAATATGCCAGGCATTGTGGGACCATTAGGATTCAGAGGAATCAAGCAAGATTCTTGCTCACAGAGTACATGTGTACAGTGGGAAGAAAGAGGGACAGGCCATAAACAAACAAATGAACAAGGTAACTTTAGAGAGTGGTAGGTAGTGCTTCCATATACAGCTGCTCAAAGTGGTACCCCTGCAGCTTTCCAGCATAGAAAAAGGGTATAAAGCAAAACGAATTATGTGATAGAGTGATGGAGTGGTGGTGGAGACCCGAGTGCTGTTAATTAAATTCTCTGCAGCCAATCCATTTGTTCATATGCTTATGGTACCCCTGATGGTCTTCCCTCTGAAACCATAGCACTTTCTTGCCTTCAGTTCACTGTGATGTTGTTCAACTAGAGACAGGCCACATGATTTTTCCCTTCAGTCTTCAAGGTACTTGGCTTTCTTAGGTTAGGATTCCTCATCATTTGCATTATACCCCCAGCTGGAGGGCCACAAATCTGGGATGGCATAGCTGTGTGAAGGCATCCAGGTCCACCCTAGAGCCCCCCAATTCAGGGTAGATGTAGTGGTTGGGGTTGATAATTCGATCTTCAGCATAGAGAATACCCCTGGGACTCCATTGTTAGACTTGGGCCCAATGGGCAGTACTCATCTCTTACTGGGAAACAGTGTTGAGGAGTGACTAAGAGGTTGGCCCCTGAAGTCAGATTAGTTTTAATTTGCATGGATTTGCATAAATTTGAATTTAATGTTACCATTTACTGATGCCAGCTCTGGCAAGTTACTTAACCTCTGTGTGCCTCAGTGTCTTCATCTTTAAATGGGATTAATAACAGTACCCACCTTATAATGTTATTGTGATGGTTAAATTGAGTAATTGATGAAAGTGCTTAAAACAGTACCTGCACTTAGTAAGCCCCCACCGGCAATAATAAATAGTAATAATTACTATTAACTATATCTGGTGTTACCTTAAAGCTTTTCCCTTGGCTCAAACTCTTTCTATACTTATAAAATGCAGAGATTTCAGGAGTAAGACTGAATGTGGCAAGGGGCCAGGTTGGCTTTGCTGAATTTGATGGAAAGGCTTTGGGTAGTAATTTAAACCTAATGCAGGAAGTGGGAGGATGGGTGGAGTCAGGGAGAGGAAGGAGAAATTCAACTTAGGAGTCAAAGATTCCTTTTTTTTGTGTTATTCTTTTTTTTCATTATAATTAACTTCATTATAATTAACTAGACGTCAGGTGCATGGATTCATGCACCGGTGGGGTCCCTCCGCCTGGCCTGTACCCTCTCGCAATCTGGGACCCTTCGGGGGATGTCAGACTACTGGTTTCAGTGTGATCCCCACAGGCCAGGCTGAGGGACCCCACTGGTGCAGGAATCCGTACACTGGGCCTCTAGTATGCATATAAGATCTTTGGTTAATCTCTTTCTGCCCTTCCCCTCCCCTCTTCCCTCTGAGAATCATCAGTCTGTTCCATGCTTCCATGCCTGTGTGTTGAGCATCTATCCCCTGGTGGACAGTGCACATCATAGCTACCAGTCGAATGGTCACTTAGGCTTTTTTATATATAGATAAGTCAAAATTTTAATTTACTTCAGTTTCATTATTATTAACATCAGACAGCAATATACATGTTATAGTGGGATTTAAATGTTTGTCCATATTAGTTTTAACTTTCTTTATACTTTCTTATATGAAAAACTAGAGGCCCAGTACACGAATTTGTGCACCAGTGGGATCCTTTGGCCTGGCCTGCGGGATTGGGCCGAAACCGGCTCTCCAACATCCCCCGAGGGGTCCCGGATTGCAAGAGGGTGCAGGCCAGGCCAAGGGACCCCACTGGTGCATAATCGGGGTCAGGGAGGGACACAGGAGGTTGGCTAGCCAGAGAGGGACTGCGGGAGGGCTCCAGGGTGTGTGTGGCCCATCTCGCTCAGTCCCAATTGGCCAGACCCCAGCAGCAAGCTAACCTACTGGTCAGAGCATTTGCCCCCTGGTGGTCAGTGCACATTGTAGCAACTGATTGACTGGTCAACTGTCTGCCCCCTGGTGATCAGTGCACATCATAGTGGGCGGTTGAGCAGCGTTAGCATATCATTAGCATATTACACTTTGATTGGTTGAACAGATGACCGGACAACTGGACACTTAGCACATTAGGCTTTTTTTATATAGGATAGGATGTTTAGAATGAGCCTCTATCATGTTCACAGTCAGAAAAATTAAATGTTGTTTTCACTTTGAAAAACTATCACCCACAGACATATTACTCTAATACAGTTTTTATTCGGGGTTCATGTCCAGTCTTTATCTATATGTAAATAAGTAGTTAAGAGCTATCATCAAAAGTATGCATATAATTTTATTATCTACCATTTTACTTAAACGATGCTTAACATTCTCCTTTCCACGGGGTCATATTTATCACTTTAATAATTGTGTTCAAATTGCATCACATTAAAGGCTATAACATACTTCACATTATTGAGTTGACATATAGGTTGTCCACATTTTTTCTCTATAATGAAATTATGTCACTATAAACATCTTTGTCCATGTGGCTCTTTTTCTTTTTAATTATTTCTAGAGATTACTGAGGCGGAATATTTGAATCGTCTTTTGGCTGTTGATAAGAATCATATAACCTTCCAAAAGGATTAGATCAACTTTACACTCCAACTGGCAATAAATACATATGAGTTTCCATGAAGCCTCAGCAGTATTGGGTTATATATGTTTATTTATTTTCTCTAGTGTACTGGACTGTGTTTTCATATAGTAATTCTATTTTTTTCTCATATGAATCCTCTGAGCATACTCTTTGCTCATCTTGGCGATATTCTTATAGAATTAAAAATCTCTAATTCAATACTGGTACTTGCGCTGTGGCATATTTGTTACAATTCTTTTTTTCATTCTATTATTTTTCTTTTTAATTTTGGTTTTGTGTGTTTCTCTTTCCATTGATAGCACTTTCCTTGCCTCAGCCTCATTCTAGGGTCTGTTAGTCACTGGCATGAAAAGGATTTAAAATACGGGTTTCCAGAAAAGTGCCTCGTTGGGGTAAAGAAGGAGGCTAGCAGGACGGGGGTGGGGCATCGGGATGAGACCCTGTCACCTTTCTCCCCCAGTTCCCTCCAAAGCTTTGGTCTCTGAAAAGTGGTCCTTACCTGGCACCTCCTTAGCATAGTTTTGTAGCTTCAAGGCTGTCACAGTCCCCAGGGCACACCTGTCACTTCCCCACCAGCATATGTAATAGAGAGAAATGGACTTGGAATATCTCCATCCTGGTTACCACCTGGGGGATCGCCCCCAGCTGAGAGGAGCTGGCACTGGGACTGCACTTAAGCTTGAGTGATGATTTTCCCCACACATGGGACCAGGAGCATGAGGCGCTGCTGGATGAGCACACACAGAGAGAGGGAGGGGGCCAAGAGGAGAGCGACTCCCCCATGCCTGCACATGGCACCCTTCCCAGCGCCATGCCCAGCATGGCACCCAGCATTCTCCCACCTAGAGCTCAGAGCCCAGCCAGGCCAGCCCAACCCTGGTGTCACCCTTTTTTCTATTGCTCTTTAGTCTAAGGGAGCACACCCCTGCCAACCCTCGGGGGCCCGGGCAGAATGCCAGGGACGCCCACTGACCTCCACTGCTCTTCTCTTGCAGTTTCCTGCTTCTTCAATTTCACCAGCCCCTCTGGGGTCGTCCTGTCGCCCAACTACCCCGAGGACTACGGCAACCACCTCCACTGCGTCTGGCTCATCCTGGCCCGGCCTGAGAGCCGCATCCACCTGGCCTTCAACGACATCGACGTGGAGCCTCAGTTCGACTTCCTGGTCATCAAGGATGGGGCCACCGCCGAGGCCCCAGTGCTGGGCACCTTCTCAGGAAACCAGCTGCCCTCCTCCATCACCAGCAGCGGCCACGTGGCCCGCCTCGAATTCCAGACGGATCACTCCACGGGGAAGAGGGGCTTCAACATCACCTTCACCAGTGAGTCCTCCCTCTGCCCCCGGCTGGCCATCCCCCTGAGGGTCGGTCCCTGAGGGTGGAGGAGTGGTGATGTGGGTGGGCTGCTCCAAGGGCTGTAGTGCCCAGGCCTGGGGCTCCAGCCTGCCCAGGAAGAGCATCAAGCACTGCTGCCGGGCAGGGCGCTCTTTCCTGTGGCGTCACTCTCTTTTGAGCATTTATTTCCTGGAAGCCTCGGCTAGAACCAGGAAGGCTCAAGGGAGAGCAAGCCTGTTGTCCCTCATTAGTTACGGATCCCTCTCTGATGTGAACGCCGCTTGCTACCCACTGTGGGCATTCCAGGGGGGCTTGGCCTCGCCCGGGTCCCATCCCCATAGTCAAATCGGAAGGTAGCATCTGGAGTGCCATTTCTGTTTGGCTGTGAGTCTTGATTAGAGCCAACTCAGGGGCATTTCCTCACCCCCCTCTCAGGGTCACAGTCCTGCTTTCCCATGAGACCCTGAGCTCTGCACAGGGAGGGGAATGCATTACTTATCTGCCCAGCAGGGGTCTGGTGCATGGTAAGAACCAGTAAATGTTTATTGAATGGAAAGGTCCATAAATGACTCAATGCTCTTTCCCCGCTGGTGAAGTGGGAAGAGGACGGGTAAGGAATCCCCAGGGAAGCCCATTTGTCCAGGATGATGACGGCAGAGAACTCTGCAGGGTCCAAGGAAGTGTGGACACTGATCAGGCACCTGTGGCAAAATACATGCTTAGCCCCAGCCAGTTTGGCTCAGGGGATAGAGTGTTGGCCTGCGGACCAAAAGGTCCTGGATTTGATTCCGGTCAAGGGCACACACCTGGGTTGCAGGCTCCTCCCCAACTCAGCCCCTGGTCAGGGCACGTGCAGGAGGCAACCAATCAATGTGTTTCTCTCACATCAATGTTTCTGTCTTTCCTTCTCTCTTCCGCTCTCCATAAAAAAAGCAATGGAAAAATATTCTCAGGAGAAAATTAACAACAACAACAAAAAAATACATGCTTATAGTCTCCCAGGAAAACCAAATCCTAGGAAGTCCCCGTTTTCTAGGAAAGGAGAAAATGCTGGGTCCTTGGGAGGAAGAGGCAAAAGGGTGGTGGACCAAGCTCCTGCCTCACATTCCTCCCCAGGGTTTCTCCAGCACGGTGAGAATGATGCACACCCAAACATGAATACTCAAAACACATGGGCAGGTCAAAGAAGACATGCTCACTACCACCCAAGTCCCCCACCCAGAAATGGTTCTTGCCAACATTTGGTGAACACTATTACCAAATCAGGTACTTTTCTGTGCATTCATACAGATGGTCAGTTGGATGGATAGTAGAAATAATACTTTTAAATCTGGGCCCCGTTGCTGAGTCAGAATCTCCAAGGGACTGAGGCCCCAGGATGTACTGTTTAAAAGGCTCTGAGGTGGTTCTGATGTAGCTATTGAACAGTAGTCTGTCTATGGACAAGTGTTTGGGAAGCAGCATAGTCTCCCCTGCAGGACAGTCCTCTCCTGGGTCACGTCCCAAGTGATGATCATCAAGGCTGAGCTGGAATGTGCCCAGTGTCGGGGGCTCACTTCCCACTCAGCTGTCTCCATAGCAACAACAGCACACTGAATGCTTCCCCTTATGATGCCTGAAATCTGTGTCCCTGTAACAAGGACCCCTGATCCTTTTCCACCCCTCGAGCTCCTTGGAGTAAAACCTCCTCCTTCTTCCACATGAAACATCTCCAGAAGTGACAAAGTAGCTACTGTTTACTGAGCACCTAGTATGTGAGCATTGTGCAGTCATTACTGCGGACCCCAAATCAGGAACATCTTAAGGCTAAAATCTGTTCCTTTTCACACGGCAAGAGACAGGTTCAGAACAACAGCCAGGTAGAACTGGGCAGTATTTAAGTCCTTGACCTCGAGCACTTGCTCCTAAGTGCTGAAAAAAGTTCTATATCTGGATCTGAGAGAGAGAGAGAGAGAGAGAGAGAGAGAGAGAGAGAGAGAGAGAGAGAGAGAAAGAGATGGTTAACGCCTGGGCTTCTAGCTTCAGGCACCACTTATTTCTAAATGTCAGGGCAACCCCATGGTCATAGCTCCTAATAAAGAAAGGTTGGGAGACTGAAGTCTATGCTGACCTAGGCTTTGCATGTCAGAGGGAAGGATGTGGGGACTTCGTGGAGGCTCTGCAAAGGATCAGCACTCTCCTCTCCATGTCAGACCCCCCAGCTCACCTTCAGTAGGAGGGTCACCAGGTCTCCAGCCTCTTGCCTCCAGTAAGATCCAGCAGCCACCAGGGTGGACTGTTCGGTTTCTGACTGTGCACGTGTTCCCATCACTAGGGGATTTCAGAGATTTGTAAATTGAGTTTTTGAAAGTGGTACTTGCCTGTGCATCCATGGAGCCTCGTCTCCACTGCAAAACCACCATCCTTCAGACAGCAGGGATGCAAACAGGGTGTGGCTTCAGAGACATGAGTGCGAGAACTGTGGCACCCCTGACAGAGGAAGCCTGGGAGTGTGCTTGGAGGAGGAGGAGGGGAACGGGAGGAAGGAAGGGCACTGGCTCTTTTTTTTTTTTTTTTTAATCCTCACCCATTTTTTTCCATTGATTTTCAGAGAGAGTGGGAGGGGGGAGAGAAGAGAGAGAGAAACATCAATGTGAGAGAGACACATTGACCGGTTGCCTCCTGCACATACCCCAACCAGGACCTGGGCTGGGGAGGAGCCTGCAACCAAGGTACATGCCCTTGACCAGAATCGAACCTGGGACCCTTTAGTCCGCAGGCCAATGCTCTATCCACTGAGCCAAACCGGATAGGGCTTAAGGAGTACCTACTCTATCAGGAGCCATAGCAGATATTCTCCACTTTCATATCAACCTTCATTTCTGCCCAAGAATAATCCTGCAAGTCAAGTATGATCTCATTTTATAGGTCAGGAAGCACAGGCTCAGCAAGATTACATAAGTTTCCGAGGACCATGTAACTAACAAGAGGCAAAAGTGCTCTGACTCTTTCCTGCATTATCAGTCTCCTGGGAGAGGAAGAGGGAGCCTGGCAGAGGCGAGGGAGTGAGGGAAATGGGTTCCGACAGGGCTGATTCCAGGGCACCTACTTCATGATGCTTAGTGTCTATTAGTGTCACAGGATTCAGAGCCCCGCGCACCTGCTGCATGAGTGATCCCATCACTGTCTGAAGTTAGGGAAGCATGGAATGGATTTGACATTGGGGAGACAGATCTGCATAAGTCTCAGTTTCCTCATTTGCAAACTGGGATAATATCTACTTCGTGGAATCATTATATGATATAAGTGAGTGAATGTGAGAAATACTTAGCCCACTGCCTGGTCTATAAATGCTCGTTAGAAGGAAATTGGATTAGGTGCCTGGGAAGGCAGGAGACCAGGTTTAAGAATCACCTGCTTTATGCCCAATGTGGCATGGAGTCCCTGGTTCTGGGGACCTGGCTCTCCCTCCAGCATGGTGGGTTCTTGGGGGACTGGTGGAGGGCTAGGGTTGACCATAATAATGAAGCTGATTTGGGGGGTCCCCCTGCACACCGGCTCTGCCTAACCCCATCCTTGTCCTCCATCTACACAGCCTTCCGGCACAATGAGTGCCCGGACCCGGGCATTCCAGTGAACGGGAAGCGGTTTGGAGACAGCCTCCAGCTGGGCAGTTCCATCTCCTTCCTGTGTGACGAAGGCTTCCTTGGGACGCAGGGCTCCGAGACCATCACCTGCATCCTGAAGGAGGGCAGCGTGGTCTGGAACAGCGCCGTGCTGCGGTGTGAAGGTGCGTGCCTGTGGGCTGGGGCTGGCTGCGCAGAGAGGCTGAGGAGGGGGCCACGTGGCCTGAACCACCTGGTGCATGTCCGTATCATCCTCCTCTTCTCCCTGGACTCAGGGCCACCCTCTCACCCTCGCACTGGAATGGCAGGGGCTCCGAGGACCACTGTGCATAGAAGTTTTATGGGTAGCCAGAATTTAAACTGGAAAAACACTGGTTGTAGACTGCCAGACATCAAAACACCTCTTTCACCTGGGAACTCTCGAAATCACAGCCAGTGGGAGCCCTGCGTCCTGACCCATCCAGGGATGCTCCATCCCCCGAAGCAGAGTGGGCCATGCTGTGAGTTCTTGAATCTTCAAGCTGCTGCCACTCTTTCTTTTGCACACGCTGATTTCCCCAACGCCCAAGACATCTCCAGGCCTGGCTTTTGTGCCCCACTAGATGCTGCCTTGTTATCCCATGGTCAGTCTCCAGGGATGAAGGGCAGACTGGCCAGAGGAAACACAGCTTGATGCCTGCACAGGGGCTGCCGTGGCTTCTCCTCAGTCCTGCCTTGCCACACGGAGCAGGTTTTTACCCCATTTCAGAGACCAACTGTCTGTGCCACCAAACTGCAGGTTTTTAAAACACACGTTAAGCTTCTCAAGGGCAGGATTGTGTTGAATCTGTGTACCAAGCACAGTGCCTGGCACAGAATGGGCCCTCCGTCCATGTTTGTGGATAATGGATGAGTCATGCGTATCCCATAGGCCCTTGGGAGCGATGACAGTGCTCAGGAGGCAGGGGCTGTGGTTCTCTCCTTTGGGAGCCAGAAAACTTCTTCCTCTCATCTCACTTGATAGACAGCAGGTACAGACCTAAGAGACCTCTCTACATACCCAGTCCCCAAACCCAAATCTGAGCACAGCGACCAGCAGGTGGGAAAAACAGGAGAACAAATGGCGGTGTGTGTGGGGGGCGGGGGTGGGGGGAGGTGGGGGGGTGGGGACAGATGGAGCACTATCCAGAGATGACAGGTGCAGGAGGAGGGGAGGGACCACAGAGAGCACAGTGTGTGTAAGAGGGTCTGTGGGCTCTCGAGTCAGGGGCCTGGGCTGCAATCCTGGCAGGTCACTTTTTCCCGCTGAGCCTCTGTTTTTCCAGCTGAAAAAGTGTGGTGGTGATAATAATAAGATGCATATGTAAAGGACAGATTCTGGCATAAAGTAAGTCCTCAAAAGTGTTAGCTGTGTGATCAGTGGTTTGTAAACTCCGTGAGGTAAGGGAATCATCCTTGACCTCATATTCCCACAACTGATAACATTGTTTGGCACTTAGATGCTCAGTCAGTGCTGGTTGAGGAGTCACTGAATGAATGAATGACCTTTGAATTAGGTTAGAGCCCCTTTAATGGCCTTCAGAGCCCTGACTCTCACCAGACCACCTTTTGTTTCTGCCCTGCAGCTTACCAGTGGAGTCACCCTGAGCAGGTGACTTGACCTCCCTGTGCCTCAATTGCCCCATCTGTAAAGTGTGGTTAATAATGGGAACCTCCTCACAGGATTGTCGTGAGCAGGCACTGTTCTTGGAGAAGTGCCTGGCAGAGGCAGTGTTTAATGTGTGTTGGCTGTGAGCATTATTTTAACCTGATTTGAACCAGTTTTTCATCGGACCCGTTAGATGAGTATCACTCCACGTGAGGGGTCTAGTGGTACGTTTCCATCCTCCAGGTGCCCGCCCCATCATGACATGAACAGACTACCTTCCACCCTCCAAAGTCCACAGCAAAGTCCGCCCAACCTCATCTGCCATTTTCCCCAGCAGATGAGCAGTTTTGGGAACTGCATGAGCTTTAGCAGCAGAGAAACAACTCGAAGCTCATGGCTTGCCTCCTCCCAGCTGTGGAACAGGTCGATTAGGCAATTCCCTCGTTGGAGAGCGCGATAATCATGCATGTCTGATGGGATTGTTTGCGGGTGCAGCAGGTGACCCTGTGAAGCAGCCATGCGGAGCCCGGGGGCTGGGGATTGTCGGTCGGTGGTCACTCACCTTTCCTCAGCCGGCCCCTCCTTCGCCGTCCTGCTTGTCGGTCTCCTCTGACGTCTTTGGTTTTCCTCATGTTCGTCATCTCGTCCAGGACATTTTCCTGCTGTCTCTCGCTCCCCTGGTCTCTCCTTTCTCCTAATTCCTTTCTCCTAATTCCAGACAACTCTTGGTCTAACCACTATTAATTTTTCTTTACCAATTCCGTGGGCCTTGGTCCTATCTTCTCACCAAGATTCTCCCCACTCCCGGGCCAGAAGCCTAGGCCCCAGGCCTCTGAGCCTCTGGGGTTCAGTCCCAGTGAAGCTAGACCCCCCGAAGAGGTGTCAGGACGTGGTAACTGCAGAATCCTCCTCTTCTCCCCACTGCTGCTCTCCAGGATCAGGTGCTCCTCAACCACTGCCCTGCCCTCGAGAAGGCAGTGAGAGACTCAAAACCACACGTGATGCAGGCGAGAATCTTCAGCTCACTATTCACAGGCAAAGTCCTAATTTTGAACTAAAGCTGTTCCATTCATTCTGTCTCTGGGGGGACAGTAGGCAGCCAAAAATAAAGGGCAGCCTGTTAGAGAGACCCTGACATGGCCCCGGGAAGAAGAGCCTGCTCACTTTTCTCAGAGTGAGGGGCCTTTGCTGCCACCCTGGTTTTCAGGGGCCTGGAGAGCAGCACGTGAGAGACGCCACCTGGGGTGGCCAATCCCAGAGCTAACAGGTGTAGAGACCCCTGGGAATCTGGCCCCTCCGTGGCCCCTTTCCCCACTTGTGTCCCATCCTTGGGAGAACCCTGCTTTGTAATCAGCATCTTCGTCTTTTTCAATTTTCTAGTTTTGTTTTTGATTAAGTATCCCCACCTTGTGGACAATTAAATGCAGAAGCTAATGGACTTTAAAAAATCTTTAATATATGCTAAGAGCCACTTTGTTTTTGAGAAGCTGTAATGGGACAAGGGAGAAAAAGGCTTCTTCTCATAAATTTAGAAAGAAGGGTGATTATCTGACTGATGTAAAGCAGCAAATCAGCAAACTTTTCTTAAAGGGCCAGCTAGGAAGAGCGAGAGACAGCCTCGCATGTGGTCTCTACGCAACTTGGCCACCGTTATATGAAAACAGCCTGAGACAACACAAGTAAATGGGCTGGATGTGGCCCCTGGGCTGGGTTTTGATGACCCCGGATCTAGAGAACATAAGGGAGCCATATGTTTAAATCAGAAACTTCCTGCCCAGCCAGATTGGCTCAGTGGGCTGAGTGTCTTCCTGTGCACCAAAAGGTTGCCAGTTCCATTGCTGGTCAGGGCACATGCCTGGGTTGCTAATTTGATCCCCAGTCAGGGAGCATAGGGCAGGCAGCTGGTTGATGGTTCTCTTTCTCTCTCCTTCTCTCTTTCCTTCTCTCTCTCTCTCTCTCTCTCTCTCTCTCTCTCTCTCTCTCTCTCTCTCCCCCCCCTCTCTCCCCCCCCTCTCCCCCTCCTCCCTCTCTCTCTCTCTCTCTCTCTCCTTCTCCCTCCCTCCCCTCTCCCTCTCTTCTTCTCTTCCAAGCATGTCCTCAGATGAGGATTAAATAAAGGAAAACAATCAGAAATTTCCCAAGAAAGACTTCCAGGTAGTGAAGGCATCTACAAAGACTGTCTGGTTCTTTCTCCCACATTCCTCTTTTCCTTAATCTTTCAAAGAAAAGCCAGCGAATTCTGTCCCACTGTGATGAGTGTCTTACTTACTCACTTCAGCCTTGCACCAGTCTAGGAAGTAGGTTAGTTACGGTCCCCACTGGACATAGAGAGGTTGAGTCACTTGCCCAGGATTCTCCCAGCTTGTAAGCGACAAAGCCAGAATCCAAACCCTTGGCTACACTGTCACTGTGTATTTCCTGAATTATATCACTGGAGAGAGTATAATTTCAAACTTGTTTATGCAAGAGTTAAAATCATCCACAAATAGGATGGAAAGCCGGTTTTCTGCTTTCCATGTCCCAGTAGAAAATTATAACAAAAGGAGACATATTGTCTGTCGCAAAAGACAAAGATAGAACCCCCCCATGGAAGCATCAGAAATTGACAGCATGGAACAAAATAACAGCAGTGAGACAAACATATCAGTCATGACATAAAGGTAATTAAACTCCTGATTAAAAGGCAGAGACTCAAGCTAGATTTTTTTTTAATGTTGTGTACAAGAAATACATGGGGGGGGAAACAGGAGATAAATAATCTACAATGAGTGTGTATTTTCATTTTTAAAGCAAATTTATAACCATTTTCATGGTTATAAAAGTTTAAATAATACACAAGTACGATAAAGTTCAAAGTGAAAACACTCATTTCCCGATCTCACTCTCCAGAGGAAAATAGTTTAACAGTCTGGTATAAACAGTCTGGTACATTTTTTCTCTATGTGTATACCAAATGTGTTCCTTTTACAATCAGAAAATGTTGAAGTTCTATAAAAAAAGAAAGAAGGTGAGTTCTCCCCACTCGCCCGAGAAGAATCTGAGTGATGGTTTTGCTCATTTAGGCCTCCAAGGCAGAAGTAAGGGTAGTTATGGAGTTTCTAACATTATGTTATTCAGTCTTCTTGCCGCTCTTGTGAGAAAAGTATTATTATACTCTATACAACAGAACTGTGGAAGGCAGCGAGGGGAACTGACTTGCCCGAGATCACCCAGCTAGTACCAATTGAGCAGTTAGCATGTGCTAAACACAAGGCCAAGTGCTTTACATACACTGTCCTGTCAAATCCTCCTGACAACCCTATGAGCTAGGTGCTGCTATTATCCTCACCTCACAGACGAGGACACTGAAGCACAGAGTGGTTAAGTAACTTGCCCAAGATCACACAGCTGAGTGAACGGGAGAGTCGGGTTTCAAATCCAAATATTCTGATTCCAGAACCATCCCTTAATCGCCAAGTGAGGTCTGTCTGATGCCAGAGTTTATTCTCCTTTCATTCTACAACAAAGTGGTGGAGGATGGATGGTGAGGGGTGCCGG